ATGCATATTAGCGTTTGTGTTCGCTCTGATATGGCTAAGCTTTCCGAAGCATCTTCCACCGGGACCAAGGGGATTTCCGCTGATTGGATATATGATGAAACTTTATCCCAAGAGCCTGCATGTGCTATTAACCGGTGGGTGTTACAATCATTGTTGTAAGCGAACTGTGTATCGGTCGTCAATTGCTTTTGAGTAGAAGCGTGAGAAATCACTTCTCACGATTAATTGATTGATTGATTGATTGATTGATTGATTGATTAATTTATTTATTATGTGAGTGAGTTAGTGAGTGAGTGAATGAGAGAGAGAGAGAGAGAGAGAGAGAGAGACTGAAGTACGGACGGACGGATAGACGAACAGGCAGAATGACGGCCAGTTGAATGTATAAGGACGGTCAGACAAGGAAGGAAAGGGGCGTGCTAAAATGCTTGCTAGTACCTAGCCATAAGTTCCCATCTCGCTTAACACTACGTGGCGTAGTAACGTAGTGTAACTGTCGGAGAGCCTGGTCGGTTTAGCTAGTACCCTGCTTAACCAGGCACTTTTTAACCAGCGTGACACGCCTTATTAATGGACCGTCTTATTATTTACCCGTGTCAATGGGTCAAGAAGGCCTGAACCGGTTCATTTTGAACCAAGTCAATGAAGCGGTTTCGAGCCGACTCAAAAGTATAAGACAGCGTATCTTTACCGTATAAACGATCATTCTTAATTGAGTATAATTAAATAATTCACAATTAAAATTAATGACTTATATCGGAGCAACTTTCGCTTTTAACAAGTAGAGTTTCGGCAGGAGAACGCACCTATCGCCAGTAACCTATATCCAGTAACAGATTGCAATAGTACTGATTTAATCCTGCGTGTCGTATCTTAATATTATTAGTCTATGATTGTACTACTTTTACGCGGCACTATACGGTGTAAACGGGTCGCTAATAATAAGACGGGTTATTATTGAGACGATTTATTAATAGGCTGGCTTACAAAAAGCCGTGTAAACGGGTTAATGGTGTCTAAATACACAAATGATTGATGTTTGACAGGTACCAGCTGTGACGACGCTCTGTATCTTAGCCAGCCTGGTTATAGTTGCTAACATTTACCGACCACGAGGAAATCCTTATATTTTACACATGGTCGGACTATTCTAATGATATCCATCTACGTCGAACTGACTTCTTCGATATCATTGCTGGATACATGCAAAATTGAACAACACCAGCTACAGCCACGTCAAAGCCATCGCGAGTAATTTGTGCGACAATTGACAAATATAACGCCGCGTTGAAAATACAGAGTTACGTCTGACACAATCAGCATTACCTGACGATTAAAAAAAGTTGTACATAAATGCGTTTAGTCCGCTTTATTGTAGCGAACACGTCAAGATAGCAACGCATGTTGTCATCGCTCGCGCACTTTTTATGCACAGTCTGCAGACGGAAAACTGCAGGTAAAAGTCAAAGGCCGTATGTTTGGAAGAATTCCGCGATCAATACGTATTACATTATTCATAACGTCTGTCAACGCGCACTATACACCACGTTTTCGCGCGCAAATCCATAAAGCACTAGGCTGAATATGTGAATCCTCCCCTCCCATTGGAGACTAGTTCATACTTAGCAACGGCAAGCACAAGCGCGGGAGTATAATGACTATAGTGTAGTAACACGCTGAATTATGCATCGTCGTCACAGGCAACACGGAGGCATGCCTATAGATATGTCAATCTTGCCTGGTCTTAGTAAGCTGCACTGTTACCGATCGAAATCGTCCACCTAGAATAATCAAAGCAAATCTTTCAAATATCATCTAATAAATTTCAGTGTATATATTACATGCTATATTTTGGTTGAAAAATGGTGTGATTTCATTGTATTCGCTCCACACAGACCGACGCACATTCACACACAACAACACAACACACAATTACCACTAGGCGGCAGCCACACACACAACACACCACACACACACACACACACCACGACTACACGCACACGCACACACACAACAACACAAACCCGCCACACCATACACCATAACCAGACAAACACACACATATTTATATATATCTATTAATATATATATAATCATATAATAATTATTATTAATATATATATACTATACTATATACATATATAGATTCTATATCATAGTATATATATAGACGAGAAGAGAGAGAGAGAGTAGAGAGAGAGAGAGAGAATTCATATATATATAAACATTTAATTAATCTGAGCAAGACGAATTCGACTCATTGTCTATTCACGTGTGTACCACGATCACCATTATTCTTTGACGACCGTGATGCATTCTTCTCCATTAACGTATATTCCTTGATTGCAAAGGCTTGGTATATTGTATCCAGGCTATATCACGGATGACAGGTACTGATCCGATCCACATGTGAAGTGGGTGTCATATAACTACTAAGATTGTGGGATTATGGATGAACTGTGAGTAATTACTAAATGTAACTCACTCCGTCATACACTCACTCACTCACTCACTCAGCTCACTCACTGACTCGCAGTCACTCCTCTCACTCACTCACCCACTCACTATCACCTCCTCACATCACTCACTCACTACTCATCACTCCTCCTCACATCACTCACTCACTCACTCAAACTCACCTCACTATCATCTCACTACTTGAAGCAGCGACCGACTGACACCCACCACAACATACATACATGTTCAACACTATCTCACTATCAACTGATCCATCTCACATTCAACATCACAAATACATACATACATCCACATTAACACTCAACGTTCACGTAAATCTCATTACTCACTCACTTACCACATACAATACCATCAATCAATTCAGCACATCAAGTAAGCTCAACTAATTCACCATCAAAAACTCACCCTCACATCCTACATACAATACATCGACCTATATATAATCATACATCAAAATATATATCACACTATATCACTCCAATCACTATACAATCTTCAACTACAGTAATTATATTCAGCTCCAACTTACATCACTAATTACTATAGATTAAGAATATGTAGATACAGATAGGCACATATGCAATAGATAGATAGATAATGTATTCGTCATCAAATATCGACTCCTGATGTGACTGAATAATATATATATAGGCAGCTGAAACGCGCATCACTATGGAGCTCATACTTGTTAAATAGATAGTAGATAGTGATATAAATTAGATAGATAGATAGATCACAGTAACATGTCAACGATCGTCAATTAGACATTCACGATAGGATTCGATGACATTAGACAATAGGATAGACATACGATCTCAAGCATAAGTCAGACTATAGACTAGATAGATAAGCCTTCAACAGATCCTTAATCACTTATTCAAAGTAATCAAACTCATTGACGGCAGATTTCGATCGATGAGATAGAAGTAGATAGATAGATAGATAGATAGAGTAGATAAGACTAGATAGATCGCCCCCTCGCGATTAGATCCGATAGATCGATAGATAGAATAGTAGCACTGTCGATCTACAGATGATAGAGGCTCAAGTAATATAGCGTCATCGAACTCAGAGCCGCTCAACTGCAAATCACTTAGATAGATAGATAGGTAATGATGATGGATAGATAGTAGTAGAGATGATAGATGTAGATGATAGATCATACGCAACCATCAGTCACCCACATAGTATAGATGTAGATAGATGTAGATAGATAGATAGTAGATAGATAGATAGATAAATAGATGATAGATAGATGGATAGAGTAGATAGAGATAGATAGATAGTAGGGACAGCTAAGATGGATAATAGATTAAATAGGATAGATAGAGTAGATAGAGATACCTCGTCACTGACCATCGCGAACGCGCACGCGTCACTTATACGCTCGCGCAACTAGAAGTCCTACTCACTAGGTATGTACACTCAAGAAATCACTTAACATCACTTCATACACTCAACATTCATACCTCGCATCATAACTCACATGGCGAACTAGTATAGATACAAGAGTAATAGATAGATGATAGGAATACATCAGAAACGTCACTTCATGAATAGCTTCAAACGATTATCGCTCCGGCACCATTAGTAGATAGTGGACCCTCACGTCACGAATCACTCACTCAGATCAGTCCACTGATAGCGAATAAACTCGTAACTAAACATGATAAAGCTAAATTGTCACCTAATTTCTACCTCACTCACTCACCAACACTTCTTCACTCATTTCTCTTTTTCTCCGTGCGGAGATCCACTCATCACTTTTCAATCACTTCTATCACGGAGCCAACCCTCACTCACTTTAGTAAGTTACCAATGCCCTGGAGAGGGCTCTTACACGTACCTCAAATGTCCTAGCTCCAACTTTGTCCACATCATGTTACAACGGTATTGCACACATCACGGAGCGTACAACCATCACTTCCGGCGCTCACTCACTATCATTCACTCTTACTCACTCATAACTACTACAATAATAAATAAATTAATCAATCAATCAATTCATAATCCAATCAATTAATCGTGAGGAATGATTTCTCACCTCTACCAAAAGCAATTGACGCGACGATACTCAGTTCGCTACAACAATGATTGTAACCCCACAACGGTTAATAGCACATGCAGGCTCTTGGGATAAGTTTCATCATATATCAATCAGCGAAATCTGGTCCCGGTGGAAGATGCCCGGAAAGCTTACAATATCAAGCGAAACACGATCGGAATTATGGTAAAATAATATGCATGCTAGTGGCGCCTGTGATGCCATCATATTAAACCGTATCTGCGGCATCCGTACGCCAGCTTCGGCTATCATGTGAGAATGTTGAGAAAAAACCTCCGGCATATCTAGACATATCACGACAATGCGTAACCAAACTATCACAAATCCTTTAACAACTCGGTTGATTGATCGGAATAGACGGCATTGTACATACCCGCTGTGTCGACTCTTGTACATCGAATATGCGATGGCTTGAAGGAGAGATCGTGGAATACCCAGCTGAGGTCGCTGTCGAAAA